AAAAAAAAAAAAAAAAAGTTGGATTAACAGTATGGGCCTGAGTGTGGTTTTCCAGAAATATATCCTGCGGAATTTAATGGAATTTGTAAGGGTGGTGAGCAAGGGTGAACAATAGGGTTGTTTACATTTTTAAGTGAAGCAATCAAATTCATATATTATGGACTAATGTACAGATTGGCATGTAGTTATCCTTTGGGTTCCACACTTCATTTAATTTTTGCCATGTTCTCAACTGAAATGCTACATGAAAAAACACTTATTTCATGGAACGCTGCATCCACAACACATGCATTGTATGAAGATATGTCACAATTTTGGGAGAAATTTGGAATAATAACAACAGCAACAACAACAACAAGAGGAAGAAGAGAAAGTAGTCATAGTAAAAGTAGTAATAGTATAAATATATTTCCCTATTTTAAGGAAGGAGGTACAAGCATATCTCAGATAATAAAGAGCTAATCTAGATTTGCTACAATATTCTGGGCTGCCCACAGAGTATTCTGGTGTTGAATTTGCTACTTATCTGCTGCGGGTTTTTGGCAAGCAACTAGCGGGTGTCTTCCCACATGGTAGCTGAAAGCTGGCTGGTGCCACCACTACAGGCACAAGCTGCTCTGAGGTCAGAATGAGGTAGATGAAATGGATTTATGGCTGGCTACATGTGAAACTGATGTTGTCTAGATATAGACCAGTTCATATACAACTGACATGTATGTTGCTAGTAGGAACCAGATATTCTGGTCTTCATTTCCCAGAATCCCCAGCCAGCATGGTAAAGATGACTAGATGGAGGTAGTTTACAGTGGATGTTATCACACGGGGTCTAAAGCAGCCCCATCCCTACATCATCCCCGTCCCATTCTGGATCCTTTGCCTCTGTGATCAGACGACGTCGCAGCAAACCCCGCCCATCCCTGGCGCATTGCTGCATCATTCTGGATCCTTTGCCCCTGTGATCAGACGACATCGCAGCAAATCCCGCCCATCCCTGCATCACCCCTGCATCGTCCCCGTCCCATTCTGGATCCTTTGCCCCTGTGATCAGACGACGTCGCAGCAAACCCCGCCCATCCCTGCATCATCCCTGGCGCATTGCTGCATCATCCCAGTTCTTTGCAATTCCTCTTTCAAAGAGGAATTACAGCTGCTGCGACCAGAATCAATCCAGAACCATTCCGGTATGATGCTGCTTTCTTGTCTGATGATATGGGGTCCATTCCGGTATGGTTCTGGATTGATTCCATGCCGCTTTTCTTGCCGCTTTGAGATATCATCTTCTTGTCCAGTATTATTTATTGTTATTGCTGATAATTCTCCAAGGCCTGAGGCATACAGTGGCCATATGTCCCAATTTATAGTGGGCAATAGTCTGTTTTCAGGAATGGGTTCTCTTTCCTGGTTCTCCCGATGTTTTGGCCTACATCAGCTCTGATATGCGGGCAACGTAGGCTAGGATGAGACTTCAGTATCTACACCCAGGCACTAGATACCAGTGTGGAATGAAGAACCTGGACCAAGCAGCTCAAAAGTGAAGAAATTTATTTACAGTGCTAAGTATAAACTATATACAAGAGCAGGAACTGCACAGGCAAGCAATAGCTCTCTTACAGCAACTCATACAGCAACTCACCAACTACATGGAACCACTACTGAAACTCCAACTTGTAACCTGCATAGTTTACTTTAACATACAGCCTTATATATTCTTGGCTGATGTAACCACTCCAGCACATGACATAAGCCATTATCTCATCTGTGCTGAGCCATACATTCACAGGTGTATGCTTGAATCCACAACTTGGTGTCTGGCCTAAAGGACATTTATCTAAATTATCTAAATGTCCTGCCTTGTCAGACACACCACACACACATAATGACATTGCAGTACTACAGATGTTAATTTTCTACAGCCAAAATGGTTGACAAGCTCCCCTCTCATCATGGCCAGTGGTAAAGGATTGTGGAAGTTGTGCTCCAAAAAGCTTTCCTACTGCCCTCTCTACACAGAGGGTGCTGGTTCCAAATTGCACAGGGTTCAACCCACTGATATCAATGGGACTTAAGGTAGTTATGACTAACTTGTAACTCATTGGCTTCACTGATCCTACCTTTGTTGTTGCTGTTGTGTGCTTTCAAGTCATTTCTGACTTAAGGTGACCCTATCATGGGTTTGTTTTCTTGGCAAGATGTGTTCAGTGAAGGTATGGCTGAGTGGGGAATCAAACCCTGGTCTCCAGAGTTGAAATCCAACACTCAGACCACTATTCCACCTGGCTCTCAGGTCTACTTTACAGATGACAATATCTGCAAGTAGTCTACTGGACTTTCTGGATCATGGGCTGCTGCTATCAGCATATCTCATGGGGAATAAAGAACAAGAAGGCGAGAAAGGACCCCCTCTGTATCATCCTTCATCTCTTGCTGTTTGGAAGACAAGGGATATGCTGATGCTATGTCTAAATTGTTAGCAGATTGAGAGAGCAGGCCCCTTTCCAAAAAGGGATTGTATTGGAGAGACAAAACTGGATTGGAAGCCAGTAAGAGAGAAAATCGAGATGGGGCAGAGGCAGTGGGTGGCCCAGGGGAGAAAGATGGGTTCTGCTAAAACACATTTGGAGCTGCTTTGTGAGGAGAGGATGAGAGGAAAGAGAGGAAAGTGGACCTCACACACAGGCCTCATGAGAACCCTTGTATGGAAAACAGTATAGTAGCTCTCCAGCCAAATGTAATATGGAGGTTACAAGGCAGCGCTGGCTAAAATGAATTTCAGATCAAGTCAATTCAAGTCCTGGAAGCCCCTCTTAGAAGACAGGATGTGGGAAACAGCCAGTGGCTTGACAGAGCACATAGATTCATAGCCAAGATGAGGATGGTGGGAGATCTCTTGTGTCCTGCGTTCCATTCTTGGCAGGGAGTGTTTTGCTTCTGTAGCTTCCAGTGACAAAAAGAGAATCAAAATGGGGAAATAGGCTTTAAAAACGAATGAGTTAAAGTTAATGTTCCATAGACCCAAAGATAGTTATAATTTTTCATTTCTTTTTTTTAAAGTTAAATTTTTATTTTCCATTGTTCCAAAAATAGAGGTGATTTTTTAGTTATTTAAAGAAAAGCCAGGTGCTACAAGCAGCTGGCCTCTGATACAAAACACACTTCGATACAAAGCACACCATGAACTACAGGATGGGCTTCTTTCTTCACTTCGTAAGACCACACCATGTAACTATAAATGTGACTAAAACATTATAGGTAGGCTGTCCTTGTGAATTGCCCTTTATTATTTTACAACCAAAAGGTACCTGTTATTTCATCATTATAAGAAAAAGGAATTAATTGCTAGAAGCTGGTTGTTTGTCACTAATCACTTCCAAGCTCCAAAGAGAAGAGCAGGAATGTCAAAGAAACAGAAACCAACAGCCTTGAGAGCCAGCATGGTGTAGTAGTTTGAGTGTTGTACTTGGAGACTGGGGACTAGGGTTTAAAAATCCCTGCTCTGCCAAGGAAACCCACTAGGTGACGTTGGGCAAATTACATTCTCTCAGCCTCAGAGGAAGACAACGGCAAATTCCCACTGAATAAATATTCCAAGAAAACACCATGAGAGGTTTGCCTTGTTTTTCTTGTGTACCTTCAAGTAATTCTGACTTATATAGACCCTGAGGTGGATTTTCTGGGGCCGAGAGAATGTGACTTGCCCAAAGTCACCCAGTGGGTTTCCATGGCTGAGCAGGGAATTAAACCCTGATCTCCAGAGTCGTTGTCCAATGCTCAAACATCTACAGTATGCTGGCTCTAGGTCCACCCTAGGGTTGCCAT